TTCGTCAAAATATTTAAAAAAGTATTCCTATTCTTCAAACTTTATGCTTACATCAAATGTTAACAATAATATAATATTAACAAATTAAAAGATTAAAGCATTAGGAATAATGAAAAAGATGAACGATATAAATATATGTTCGGTGAACCTTGAACCGTTCAAAGATTTTATCATTTTCCCCCATAAAGATCGAGAGAGGGAAGGAGTCCATCACACCGATTTCCGATGTAGAACGATTACTGGAACACGTGTCGAACGAGGGGGAGGGGATATCGGGCGATTTAAAGACGATCGTCTGGTCGGGCGTTAATGGTCTCTGGTTTTTCTCGGGGGGCGAGGGTGAAGCCTAAACCCCTGGCGAGCCCTCGCTCTGATTGGCCCTGCGTTTAGGGGATGATTCGAGGCGCGATACGGTCGCCGGTTGGCCGGATTTAATTAATCGATCGCACGCATTATCCGGCCGACAAATGGTGGGCAGGCGGTTAGATCGTTCCCGGTTAATGTCGCCGATCATCCGTCACGAAGAATAAACAAGTTTCAAGAATTATTCGCTTCTATTATTCGATTACTCCAAATGGATTGGATTGGATCGGAAGATGTGTTTCTTTTTTTATTTTTTTTTTTAAAGAAAAATTCTAAATCTTGTAAATTTCATGGTGGATGAAAAATTTTGGAAAAGTGAATGAATCTGGATATTGGAGTTGAATCGATGTTTCTTTTATCGAACGTGAATTCCAATTGACGAATTGTCAAAAATTTAACGATTAAAGTATATTTGATCGTTTTCCTTTTATAGGAGAATAAACTGTCTTTTATTAAAAATATTGTAAATATAATAAAAATTATCAACAAGAAAGGCCATCGAGTATTTACTTAATCTTCCTTAAACTCAAAAATCCCACAGATGAACGTTAAGCAACTAAAAAGTTATTTCGCTACGTTTCATCGTTTTCTAAAAATCCAAAAAATTTTCTTTTGAAAAAGAAATCCGCGAGAAAAAAAATTTATTTGCCAAGTTTGCCTTCTTCGTCTTTGGCTCCAAAAAAAAAAAAAAAGAAAAGAAGAAAAAAGAAAAAGAAAAAGAAAAAGAAAGCGGAAAAAAT